TGAACCTTGCTTGAAAAGCCAGCAAGGGCTGACCTCTTGTTGAGACAGTGCACCACAGCACTCATTTCTGGGTGTTACCTACCTCTGTCACACACCTGAGTATCACTAGCAACATCTAAGGCTGCCTTTGCTCCTCTCTTGTAGTTATCTCGATCTGTTTGAAACAGTTTGGGGTGTTAGAAATGCTGAGCTGTGGAGCTGAGGTAATGCTGGAGAAAGGTAGTTATATGGGTGGCAGAATATAAAATGGAAGAGGTTATTTAATGAAATTTTGCTGAGCTGTTGTGCCTAGGGACTTTCTTCTGTCAGACGTAAAGGCAGGGCTGCAGCCACGTTTCCAAGAGCCTCCAGATGCACCAATACACAAAAAGCATATTTCCAGTGAGAACTACCAGAGGAGATCTGTGCTTGGAGATTGCAGAGGCTCTCAGGGATTCCTCAAGACAAGTGAGCTCCCTCTTCCATGCATGGATTTTGGATCCTATCACTGTTAAGGTTGATGCTTCTGCCCTCATCCTCCCCAGCTGGCACCACTTCTGGCCATAACAGCCACTGGGATTCCTGGGCAGGCATTTCTTTATTGACAGCTGTGCCAGAGTGTTTTCCTGGTCTGCTCCCTGCTGTGCCAAGGTAGATTGGCTCAATCAGACTTGGTAAACCTGTTGTGAATGTTCCATGCTTCACTGGACTTGCCAATTGTAGCTGCTCTCATTGCACCCCTGCTGCTTGTTTGACTGCCTGGTGGCTCCCAGCCAGGGCCCAGGGATGGGAAGTCAAGTTAATTTGCAACAGTGAAGGTAATATTAATCTCACCTTTCATTTTTTAGACATACAGTTAGGAAGCAAGGAAATTGATTTCTTTTCCCTTAAATACAAAGCCTCTCAGAGAGGAGAAATTGAGTCTGTTGTCCTTGGGGCCATCCTATTTCTCAGCACAAACCCAGTGTACACAGAACCTAGTAATGATTGTGCTGTACCCTGCTGAGACTGGGCAGGGAATGAGAACTAGTGCTGATGAAACTTCATTTCAGACCATGCCTGGCCTGTCCACATCTCCAGTAATTTTATAGTTGCCTCATTGTTGGATGTGAGTCTTCAAGGATTGGTTTCCTTGGCCTCACTTACAGCTGCTGTCATGCTTGGCTCGGTGCTGTGGGTACTGGGTCTAATTGTGAGGGAATGTTCTGCACTGCCATCAGCCCCAGATCTGCTAGGGAGGTGCAGGTGTCCCCATCCTTTGCAACCTGGCTGGCTGACAGTGCTTCCTTGTGTTCCTAATGGGATGTTCTCATTCTCCTTAGCACGTTGTTCTCAGGCTGATGGGACTTGAGGATAATGTGCTCACATGGGTTGGAGGCAGCCAGCCCAGCCAAGTTTCTGACAGTGACGAAAAGTTTCTTGTGCTGCCTGCCCTGCCAGCAGCCACAGCAGCACAAAGAGAGGGCTGTGTGCTCAAGCTGTCTGCTTGGGTTTGTAACAGGAGAGTGTGTGCAGCCAAATGGCTTCTTCAGCAATGCTCAAATAATTCCAAATGTGTGAACAAACCCAAGGCTTTCTGCTGTCCCATCAGTCTGCTCTTTGCTGTGTCTGTCCTCTGTGAGATGGGAGCACCAGGGAACCCAGACAGGTTTCCACCGTGCACATCACTGGTAACTGTCCAGCTTCCCTCTCTCTGTGCTGGTGGGTCAATATCACTGATTTAAGACCCAGCCTCTTTATTCATGTCCAAGCCCTGCAACTTGGTGGCTAATGCCAGGGCAGCATTCCCACTTGTTTTGTCAGTGTTGTGTGCATGTGGGACAGGCAGGGGCAGGGCACAGCCCCAGGTCTGGGTGCTGTGTGGCCATCTTAGGCGTGGCACTGGACCTAGGTGGCTTTGGGCCAGGAGCTGGAAGTTGCACCAGGGTACTCTGGCCTATACGTGCTTCTTGGCCCAGTCACTGAGCTTCAAAAGAACCTAAACAGGAACCTTTGTCCCTGCTTCATGTCTGTGACATCCAGCAGCTCTCAGCTATAGCCTGTAAGAACTGAGAATTTGAGGAGTTTGTTTGGAGACCCATGGATTACTTCCAGCACTTCTCTGGAGGAGCAGCTAGAAGAAGCAGGCCTGTCTATGCAACCCAAGTCTGTATGGACTTTGCCTTTTTATTTTGAGCCCATGCTTTCTTTAGGAAGTCTTTAGTGGCCTGTCAGTCCAAAACGATTGAACAATCATTGCTGCATTGTAGGAATAAAGCTCAGTGACAGAGGTGAGACTTATCTGTGTTGGTGCAAGACTGTCAAAAGACAGGGAGCAGTGTTCCACCATGGCACTCCCACTTTCTTGCCCATGTGCCAAGCATGTTTCTGTAATGTGTGCTTTTGCAAACAGAGAAGTGTGTTTGGTGTGGGTAGAATGGAGTAAAAACAAACAAAAACAAAGCTAAAGTCCTCCTGTGCCTGTGTGCCTCTCTGGGGAGGATGGAGCAAAGGTCTGCCAGCACCATCAGCACTGTGACTGACTGACAAGTCAGAGCTCTTGAATACCACAGGGATCAGAGCAGTGTGTGAGCCTGTGCAGGGTGGCTTTGGGAAGGGCTGGGATGTACTTTTTAAAGCATTTCTTGTAGCAGCGATCCTTGTGCAAAAAAATGTGTAGCTCTGAAATGTTCTTCCTTGCTCCTGTGCTGCATGCCTTGTGTTGCTGGTCCAGCTGTTCAGGCAGCTGTGCTGTGGGCTTGATCAGAGACCTATTGCAGTTAAAAGTAACACTTCCCTCCCATTCTCCTATTCGCTTGTTTGTTTGTTTGTTTTTTAAACACTCAAGAGTTGGATGTGTTGGACGGTTCTTCCAGCAAGCCAGATGATGTTTCTTGTGAGCAGAAAGTGATTGTTCCACAATTGTTCTAAGAAGCTGAAGCAGTATTAGGGATCACAGAATTAGTCTCTAGGGCAAGATTCCCTAGGCCTATCCTGTAAAAAGCAAGTGTTGGTGACCACCAGGCACTCTGTGTTTGTCACCTGGGCATAGCACTGCTGCCTGTGACTCAGCTGTGGCTTTTCCAGATCTGTGGCTCAAGGCAACATTTCTTTCTTTGTACAGAAATGACCACTGGAAGCATTTCAATGCTATTGAGTTTCATATCATCTTTCCTTTTTTAAAAGAAGTTGCAATGAAAAAAAGCAATGGCAAAACCTTAATTACACCATCCAGATTTATTCATGCTTCAAGTGGGCCACTGTGGGATCATATAAGTGTAACCTTTGTCCTCATCTCCACCCTGCTGCGTGTCACTGTCCTTCCCTAAGTGTTGCTCTGGCTGTTAGGAGCTTTTGTCATCTTAAAACACCTTTCAATGCAGACTGAACCAAAAACTCCATTGAATATGGTAAAGCATTATCTGATCTCTTGGTACAGACAACTAGAAACTCTTCCACATATTTTGTGAGGACACCTGGGTGTGGAGTAATGTCTTGATGCCTCTCTAGTGGAGCATGTGCATCTGTGAGAAAAGGGAAGGCTTGTGGGATTGTGGCTTGGGAAATGCAGCTACTTTCTAATTTCATTTGTGGCAGTGGAAATGTTTTATCTTTTCTGACTCTGAACCCTTTCACAAACAGGATCCTCATAAATTCCCCTTGTACTTTTGATGCATTCTGGGGGTTTTGGGGTTATTTTCAGTTTATCTTTTAGGCTGTGCCTGTGCTCTGCTGAAGAGAAATCTTGGTCTTCACCAGAGGTTTTGCCAGTGGAGTGCAGCAGGAGGAGTTTGTCCTTCCCTCTGCGGCTTCAGAAGCACCTTGAAGTTCTCTGCTTTGTGATGTGTTTCAAGTGGGAGATATTCCCCTCTGTGGGTGCTGTTAAGCCTCTTAGCTTGTCACATTGAGGGAAAAAGAAATGACAGACCTCTATAGTGTATATTTTTGGTGCCACTGCCTAAAACTCCCCTCAAAGCAGGCAGAAACCCCAGATCTGGCAGATCTGTGAACAGGGGCCCCATTCTGTAGTCTGGGGGGACAGGTCACTGTCTTTGGTTGACAGAAAAGCTGCTGTGAACCTGCCACCAAAAGGCTGAGCCTGATGCTGTGTGTCTGTCCCTGTCCCAGTATGTGTGGCTTGTGTTTTGTTGCCCTACTGCCTATCATAACAAGTTAAAAATATACTCTGGTGTTTTTCTACAGTGTAGGTAGAGCATTCCTTTGAAAGTTCAAGTTGGAAAGTGATAGGCATTGGCAAAAATCTGCTGCTTTTAAACTGGTGCCAAAGGCAGTTCATCTGGTTCCTATTTCACTTGTCTCAAGGTCATTTTCAGCATCTTTTGAAGAAGCTGTAGTTATCCTTGCCCATAATGCTGTGACTAATCCCATATCTGGGTTCTAGGTGCAAATCCAGCATCTGCTTTTAGTCAGTGAAGCTTACAAGAAACAACTGAAAATGATACCTGAGCTGGTAGAAATGCCTTGAGAGAAATGTAGAGAGAGCCAGGGAGCTCAGTCTGCTCAGCTTTGGAGAGGTGCCAGTGTGCACCTGCCCTTTGTGCCATGAAAATACTATTCTCAGACTCTTTAACCTGGCACAGAAAGTCACAGTAAACACAAATGCCTGCCCTTGGTTTTAGCTGAATGCAGTCAGTGTGGGCATTGGTAAAAATATATAATATATATTCAGGAATGCAGAATGCATTATATATTATATATATAATATATATATAATATATATTCTGTTGGAATGGAATGCAGAGCTTTGTACATAAGGTCTGATCCAGTGGTAGCATGGACTATTCTGTTCTTGAAATAGAGGTTGAGGAGAGAGTGGAGAAGGCATTTCATGCCAACAAGGACAAAGAAATAAACACACACAGAAATAGACATGATGATAGCAGGAGGGGGGGAAAACCACAATTCCAGACCTTGGCAAGTAGAAACTGTCAGAAGTTCATATACTCCCCTGGCTGCCATAGCTTGTTTGATGCTTTTTTGGTTTGATTTTGGTTTTTCTGGTGCTAATTCTCTTTACTTTGTTTCCCTGTTCAGTGTGTCGAGACTTCGCTATTCTGGAAGATCATACCTTGGCCCATAATTTACAGGAACAAGAGAGTAAGTAGCAACAATCTTCAGAGCAAACTGAAGCAAGCTTGTCCCAGCAGATAGCTGGCTTTATTTGATTTTGCTAAGAAAAATGCTTCCTGCTTTTATTTAATTTTTTTTCCTTTTAATGGAATACGGTTTATTATTGCTGTCTTCACTATCCTGTAGCACTACACTTCACTCTGCTCCAGCTCACATTGTACCCCAGAGATAGCTGCATTTTATATTTCAATTTTGAGCTCTCCTTTAGAGTTGAGTTTGTTTGTGCCATTTATGATAAAATTGCATGTAGGAGTGCACTTGGGGTTTTGTTGCTGTGCAAGGTTTTTAGAAATGACTAGCAATTTTGGAAGCTTCAAGTTTTATAGTCTGACCTAAAGTACCACCAGAAGAGTCTGTTTGTTTACTTATTTCAGAATTACCAGTGTCTGCCTTTTGAAAGGAGCCTTCCTTTTCAGACATTTTGAGGTAGGACAGCTGTACACTAGAAGAGTTTATAAAGGAGGAAAAAAAGGACAGCCAGAAACTGCAAAGTGACTGGCGCTTTTTTTTTTTTAATTAACTTTTTTTTTACATGCTTATCTGTTAGTTTGTGTATGTTTATGTTTTAGTTTCAGGTGTGGTGGCCTCTCTAATCAGCTTCTCATGGATTTGGTATCTGCCAGTACCAGGTGCTAGTGCCATTCCTGCTGCTCCACCAAGGGTGCAGCTGCTCATGCCCTTGGTGCTGGAACCTGAGAGCATTGAATTAAAGAGGGCTCTGGGCTGCAGCTCATGTAGCCATTTTTTCAGGCAGGCAATATCCATGTATGGTAAAGGACTCACTGGAGCACGAAGTTGCTCTGTTGCTAAATATAAAGGTAGGGAGATTTTTGGAACTGATTCTGCTGAGAGTGAGAGGAGTTTTCTTCTGTAGAGGTTATTGAAAACAAAATAGAAAAGTATCCATAATAAGTGGTTTAGGTTAAGCTCATCCTCACTGGCCTCTGGTGGTCCCTTCCCAGACCCACTTCATTTGTCTGTGTTGATTTTCTGTGAAATTCAAAGCCTGAAAACCATTCCCTATTAACCTGGATGTGTTTAAGATACGCAGAACTTGTTTTGGTATCAGACCCGTATACAGCCCCCACAGTGCTGAAAAGAGGCAATCTCAAGCTGCTAGCAGAATTTCAGTTCAGGACTTTCCCACCTTTGGAGAGATTGCTTGGTGTTTCCCTGCCAAGATCTGTCTTCCTTTCTGGGCTGGAATCTCCCTCCCACTTGGTTTATCTTGTTCACTCAGTGAAGTTCTGCAGCCTGATTTGAGGGTTCTTGTCTGTGTTTATTTCCAGTTGAGCATCACTTGGCCACAAATGTTCAGCGTAATCGTCTGGTGCAACATGACTTGCAGATGGCCAAGCAGCTGCAGGAAGAGGAGGATAAGAAAGCCCGTGCTCAAATCCAGAAACACCAAAAAGACTTGTGAGTTTGTGCTGGAGATCTTGGAATGGGAATGCTAGTCCCATTTGGTCAGAGCACTAATAGCAGCTGCTTTGAGATGACAGTGTGTGGGGTTCATCAGCCTTTTGCTGTTGTTTCTTTTTTTCTTTGCCTGTCCACTGCTATGAAAGTAGTGATACCAGGTTCTGGCACAGAGGAGTAAGAGCAGTGGGGTGGTGTTGGAGCCCATCCTGCCTTAGATACTGTTGCCTGTCCATGAGAAGGAGCCTTCCCATTCTACTGCTTGTTGTGAAAATGGGGTAACTTGGCCACTTGTGTTGACCTTGTCCCTGGCTGAAGTTTGAGACTGAAGGAACTGTGCCACAGAAATACCCAGTGCTACAGGGACTCTCTCTATTGTGTGGAAATTGCAGATATTGGTGTGTTTGCCCTGTGCCTGGTGAATGATTTTGAGGAGCTGGGTATGATGCTTTTGGTGTCCTGCTGCACTGACAGCCCCTGTGTGTGCTTGCAGCTATTTATTCAACATGAAGTGACCTGGGAAGGGAATTGCTGCTCCAGGGTGGCTTGATGGGGATGGGTGTTGGGGGACAGGCCTTCTCTTGCAGTCACTGGCTGCTGCAGTAACTGTGGGAGGGTTTAATGACTGATCCAGTTTGCTCTGCAGGTTTGCTCAGTCCCCACACGCTACATCTTAACCCTGTGGTCTGTGGTTTGGCTCTCTGTGTGCCGTGGCTCTCAGCTGTGGAGCTGGTGTAGAAGTGAAACATGGCAGCACAGGGCAAAACAAACTGTGCTTTCCAGTCCAGAGTGGACTTGCAGAGCACAGGATGTAACAGATGGTTCATGGAACAGGGCTCAGCCAGATCCCACTCATGAGATGTGGGTGGATGGGAGTCCCTGCAAACCCAAGGTCTGCAAGGCAGAATGCATCTCCCAGCAGCTGTGCTGCCTCCTGACTGTTGTTGGGTTCTGGAATGCCACCCACCAGGTGCAGTTGGGGATGGATCACAGAGCCTGGATGGCTCATCTGGCAGGACCAGTGACAGAGCAGAAGAGCTCTGTGCTGCAGATATGGGAGATACAGCACTGGCTTCAAAGCAGCAGCTTGTGAAAGCTTTGAAGCTGGGGCGTGACAGATCAGCCACTGTTTTCAATGTTCCCAGCACCCTGGGACAGACCTTGTGTACATATGTATCTCTCTAAGTCTGTGCTTTTTTTCAATAGTTCTATTTCTTTATTACCAGTTAGAGATGTGAATGAGTAAATGACAACATAAAAATTGATTTTGTATGGCAGACATGATTCTTCTTTGTTACTTACTGGGAGCTGCAAACAATTTTCTTGTTGTAGAACTCTGTAAAATGGCATTTATGAACTTTGTGAGCCAAAGCACAGGCAGAACTGCTGATGTAAAACGTTATGTTCAGCAGCAGTTCTGCTTCTGAGAGCAGGAGCTCTTCTGCAAGAATAGTAAAATAAGTTGGAGGCATCCTTTTGTAGTTGGATCTGTTTCTTCCTTAATTCTTTGTACTTTCCCACTGTCTCTTCCTTGTGCAAGAGTAGCATGTTTTGGCAACAAAATACTCCCTGTTGTTGTTGCTTTCTGTGTCATGTGGGACAGTTTGAAGCTACAAGGTGATGGGAGGAGTAAGAGGGCAGAACTAAGGAGACTTTAGAAACAGGAAACAAAAAAGCTCTTCAAATTTATTGGCTTTCTAATTTCTCTCAGAAAGACTTTGTGAAGATAAATGAGAGCATAGAAACATCTCTTTTTAAGAATTCAGGGAAGCATCAAACCTGATTTTCATGCTTCTTTAAAAGCATCTCTCGCATCTAGCCGAGCAGCCTGCACACTGCTAAGCATAGTAGCAAGATTACTAAAATAAAATAGTGTGAAAATATGTTCTTTCCCTGTTTTGCTCTCAGTGTGTGATAGTTCTGTTGCACTGATGTGAACAGTTCCCTTAAACAATCCCTTTTTTTCTCCTCATCTGGCAACAACTAGTATCTGCAGTCACTGTGAATGGGAGGGAGCTTTCTGATCACACAAGCTTTTAGGTTTTTTTCTCTTTTTTCTAAACTGATGTAGAATTTTCCAGACTTTCTTAGCACTCCTGGCTGCCCAGGAGTGAAGGAGACACGAGTGGGATGTTCAGGAATGGTGATGTTTATGTTGCTCTGGCTGATTTCTGGGGTCTGATCGGCACTTGAGCTCACATTAAGGAAACTGAAGGGCAGGAAGAGCTGTCAAAGCTCTTGAACCTATTTTCTTCTGCTCACACAAGTTAATACATTAGTTCATGTTCACTAAGTAATCAAGTCTCAGCATTTAATTACTGCTGAGCAATAAACCTCCAAATCTAATCCTCTATAACTGTTGTTCTTAGGAATTGATGTAGTGTGTTCCAAGATGTGTCATCAGTGAGAAGAAATGCTTTTGTGTTTGCAATACTTCTGATGTTCTTTGCTGGTAACACCAGCAGGAGAGGCAATGACCTTGTTGCCTTGGCTCTGAAAGATGATTAGTTGTTTTTCTGTCATGTTTGTTTTTTCAATAGGATGTATTTTAAGCATTTAGCAAGTCAGTTTGTGCTGATGAACTTGGCACCTTAGCTCTGCTCACAGGTGCCAGGGGAACTGGAGACATGCAATGCCTTGATGTGTCTGACCTTTCTAACTTAATTTCTATCTAGTTTCATGTCCTCAGAGCCTGGGGTTGTAAAGGATCCACTACCAGGCTCACTGACAGCCTGCTCCCTGGGATTTGCTTATTCAGATATTGTTTTCCTGGGAGCTGTGGTTCTCTGCTGGTGCCAGGTTTGCCAAAGTCTCTTTTTAAAAAGCAAGTTCAAGAACTAGATTTGCTGCTGTGTGAACTCTCGTGGCTTTTAACAGATCTGTCCCCAGAGTCAAATGAAACACACACAGGCACACGCAAAAATTGCCAGGTTTTATTACCTGGATAAAAGAAACTTGTGTCCTGAAATGTTTGACCTTTTAATAACTCCAGTCCAGAGGTCTGCTCCCAAGGAACTGTTGACAGAAATCTTCTTTTCCTTCCTGCTGTGTGTACCTTTTTGTTGCCTATGACAAATGAGCTGTTTCTTAGTGACATCTGTCCTCTGAAACCCTGTTGTTTCAATGTTCTTCCTCTCCATCCTTGCCACATATCTACCCCTTCTGCTTCTCTCCTTCTTCTTCACTTTCTGTAAAAGAAGGTTCTGTTGTGCTGCAGGCTGCTCCAGCCATGCCACATTTCTTGTTTTTGCAACAAAACGTGCTTGGCTGCACTTGAGTGTTTTAACTTCCTCTTCTCATGTCCTAGGTTCTCTCCCAGTCCTTTGCCTCCAGATTCACTAGGTCATTTATGCCCAGATTCTTGCTCAAACCTAGAACTAGTTGCACGAGCCCACATAGCACAGCTTTGACATAGCTCAGTCTGCTTCAGTTATTTGCTTGACTTCCACTCTTGGTAGTGTTTTCATCACCTGTCTGATCATTGTCAGTGTATTCTAATAAGGCAGGCTCTGCTTGCTGCTGCTCACAGCTGTTCTCCTCCTATGCCTTGCCTCTCAGTAGTTGCAATTGTGGGGATTGACTTTCCTGGCATGTTTAGAGCTGGTCTTTAACTCAGTCTCAACAGTGCTGAAAGAGAGAACTTTTAGCTTTCCTTTTCAGATCCCCCAGTCCATTTCTGAATTGCCCTGAGGAATCCTGAGCCATTGTTCCAGCCTGTTTGCTGGACATCAGAGCATGCTGCTGAGTGTGGCACTGTTCCTGCAGATGCTTTTCAGTCTTCCTGGTCTGTCTGCACAGCCAAACCTCTCATGTCTCAATTGCTCTGATCTCTCCCTGTCCCCAGTTAATGCAGTCTTGTGTTCCTCCATCCACACTGGCACTGTGGCAGTGGCTCCTTTCCCCCTTGTTTTGACACATGTTGCTCCCTTGCCTCTGGGCACTGGTCCTGCTTTTGTATCTTGTCCCACCTCAGTGGCATTTCTCATTCATTACTGAACTGCCACCTCCAGCCTCCACTTGGTTTATGCACCATATTCCTGCCCTTCTTTCTCCTTGGCTTACACGTGAAGGCTACTTCCCAGTAGTGCCTGCATTAACCACACCCCTGAACCTCTCCTTAGATACCACATGGACAAAATCTCTGAATTAGGCTGTTTGCAGACTCCTGAGCACTACCTTGGCCTGCCCTATTTTGTGGTACCCATCTCCTTTCTTAGCAATCTGCCCATGAATCTCTTTTACATTTTACTCTGTGGATGTTTTGGGAAGTATTTTCTAAATTTGGCCACCAGTAAGTACAGGGAGTCCTGGTCCCTGGTGAGGATTCATAGCTCTGCACTAACACTGAGTAATAATTCTTTTGTGTAAATTGGGTGGATTTTTCTTTAGCTCTTTTATCCCTTTCTCCAGGCTGACTGATGCCTGTGAGTGCAGCTGCCTATAATCCCTGTCTCCTTGCCTTCTAGGGAACGCCAGGACTGCGAGATTGCTCAGGAAATACAAGTGAAGCTCGCGTTTGAAGCGGAGGAACGCCGCAGGCAAGAGGAAAAAGACGAGGTAACCTTTAAAGCTGCAGGGATGGATGGCAGGGCTATTTGTAGCAGCCTTTTCAGGGCAGACATTTCTTGGCCAGTAGCCACAGGAGTTGGCTTGCATGGTGGCAGTCCTTGTCATGACAGAGCTCTGTATGCACAGAGATTTTGGGGAGTCCTGTTACAGGAATAAGATACAGTCATAGTCCTCACACTCAAGGGTCGTAAGGGTTGTTGATGCCAGTGGCCTTGCTAATGAAGAGGTCAAGTAATAGGTAAGTGTTGCTGAGGTGTTTATTGCCCTGCTGTAGGAAGTTGTAATTGTTTTTACACTCTGAGACCTGCTTGCTTTCTTAAATGCAAGAAGACAGGTACTGCTCTTGGGAGAATCCTGGGCCATTATTTCTTTGTCTTTAATGCAAAGATTTCAGACTCTCAGCCCAGCCATCTGTTTCTGGCTTCTCCATTCTTCAATTTAGTATTTCACAGCCTGAACACCCTGTTACAGTTTCTTGCTGTAAGGAATCTGTAAGCAGATTCCTTTTGTGACTTCAGAATGTTTCTCTGCTCCTTTTGCTTGAAAGTGGGTGGTGTGGTTTGTTCATAGTGTACAAAGGGTTTTGCTTGTTGGTTGCCTCAATGGATCAGCCTGTCAGAGTTTTCAATAAACCCACAGAGTAGAGGAACACCTGTGAGAACCTGCAGTTTCAGATGATTTCCTGAGGAGCCTGGGTTGTCTTGAGATGTTCAAGGGGCACCTGGTAGAATTCTCTGTATTAGGAAGAGCTTGAACACAAGGCTGTATTTCCTGGCAGAGCCTGAAATAAGAATCTGCCCTTGCCTGACAAATGTATTGGGGTTTTTTGCAAGACTTCATTTTCTTCTCCTACCTACTTCAGTATCAAGCAAGTACTGAAAGGCTGCCCAGACAGATGGGATGGCTTGGCTTCCCAGAGGAGCTTGTGCTAACAGAGTGGGCGGAGTCCTTTGGCTATAGGATTTCTGCTTAAAAGGTAGTGATCTGTCATATTTTTATCAGGAAGGTGAAGGAGATGCAAAACTAATGTTGATTTGTGGAACTGCACCTTTCCTTCCTGCTTTATATAGAGAACTGCAGGGATGTCAGCAGTCTGAGCACAGGTCCTTGCAGCCTGTCAAACCTGCCTGCTGACCGTCTTGTGCAGTTGGGAGCAGGCTCCAGCTGACTGTGCCTTAAAGCAAGGAGAAGTCATAAATATTCTCTCTCTTCCTACTGGTACATAGGAAATTCCCAAGTGTGTCTGTAATGTAGCTGAGGACTGAGGCAGATCCTTTCTGGAGTGCAGGTATTTTAAATGAAGCACTAAGCCTGCCTGCCCTGCCTGCTGATGAATCCTGTTTGTAAGAAGTGGTTTGTGTGGATTTGCGAGTCCTGAGCTGTCTCAGTCCTGGAGATAATGTGCTTTAGCTCATATATTTATAGACTTACAGTACTTGCTAGAAAGGTTAACCTTGTCAGGGAGAGGAGTTTGTGGAGGTTTTGTTTTTTGGGTTGTGGTTTGTTTTTTTTTTTTTTTTTTTTTTTTCCAGAAGAGCCTATGGCATCCCCAGATTTTCCACAAAGCTGATTTCAGAGCAGATCTTACCTGAATCCTGAAATAATAGTTTGTACTTGAGCAGCCATCCAAGGTCCTCCAGTGCTGGCTTGGCTCTGGAGGGTGTTGACTCTTAGTTTGCATTTCAGCCATGCCTTTCCTGCCTGCAGTGTCCACTTTACATGCATGGCTCTGTAAAGGTCCTGAGGATTAGGAAGGCTTAAATGAATAGCATCCAGAGGGGCAGCCTGACCTGCTGGTGTCTCCCAGCTTTGCTCCCTAGCTCCAGACTGGCTTCACTGACTCACAAGCTCATGGGCCTCAGAGAAGCAGGCCCCAGGGAGCTGTTTGTGGTTCCTAGGCCTTGTTGACCCATTAGTCATCTGGAAGGAAAACCAATTAGGAAAATGGAGTGCTCTTCTCTTTGGCATATCTACCAAAACTGAAACAGGAGACAAATGGCTGCAGTCCCCACTGTGCTCCTGCCTTGTGCCTAGTTTGCTCCTCCTAATGTCCTTTCGATTTTCTTTTCCTTCAAGTCTCTGTCTGTCAAACTGATGCATTTCCCTGCCTGGCATCCTGTAGTCCCTGCAAATTACAGCCAGTGTGTAGTCAATTCACAGTTTACTCAGGGAACTCCTTCCAGTCAGAAGTGCCTTTAGCTGGACAGTCTTTGCCTCTGTGCCCTCCTTTCCCTGGTAGAGTGCAAGGAGGAGATCGAGCCCATTCCCATTACTGGCTGTGCACTTCTGTGACTTCCAAATCCTTGTGGAAAGCCTGAGGTTGCACACACAGTCTCTTCTGCCCTGCTTTGGCCTTTAGGGCTTAGCAGGCTTGTGTGCAGGAGGAACAGGAACCTGGGAGTTTGCCATGGTGTTGGAATCTCAGTACTGGGCTGAGTTGACTACTGGTTGCTGACATGGTCCCTTGTGTCACCCATTAATTTGAAAGCTTCATCCAGTCCAGGGGTTGAATTTGAGTAACTGTTGTTGTGTCTGAAAAGTTTTTTTTTTTTTTTTTGTAAGGATTTTAATAATTGAATAAAGAATTTGATCAAAAGAATCTGGAGATATTTTTTAGTGGTGATTTAATGTCTGTTTTCTTCCATCTGTGCAGGATATTGCCCGTCTCCTACAACAGCAGGAAGAGAAAAAGCACAAGAAGCACTACCCAGAGTCCCAGGGACACACAGGCTATGAAGAGAGCTATTATGCACAAAATGGAGGTATGTTTCTGCAAGATAGAAGGTCAGGATCATGGCAGTGTAAGTGCACCTGGTGGTCTGACAACTCTTTATCTCTCAGACTCAACTTTATGCTACAGACCTGCATTTAGCATTGTAGCATTACATCACTTTCTGGGGTCAGAATCAGATTATTTTTTAATCAGGAAGTATTTAGTTAAAAAAATAAAAGGCAGAGGAGACAATTGAATAGTTTTTATTGTCCTTGAAGTTGGCCTAAATGACAGAGATAGGTAATGTGGTTTGTGAATGTGCAAGTACAGCCACACATGCATGTTTTAGAAGTGCTTGTGGAAGAAGACAGTGGCTGATAAGGTAGTTACTGCTGTGTGACACCCGGGGTGTGGGGGAGAAATGCTGGTGAAATTCCCTGCTTGCATTTGAAGAGAGACAGTTCCATGTGCTCATTTGTGATGCTGGCACGGCTACATGAAGGAATAAATGCTGGTTCATGGACATGTTTCAAAAATAGCTCCTTGCAGGTATGTACCCAAGCTGTAAAATTAGCACAACTGCCTTGAATGACTTACTGAAGAACAAGGTCATCTCTACAGAATGTCTCTGCTGTGATTATCATCTGGGACTGTACAGTGTGGAAATGATTTGATCCACAGTGCTCTATTGCTTCCTTTTGGTCAGCTTCTGTGATTGAATACAGACCTTCTTTAAACTGGGAGGAGAGAATCAGGGTGTATTTAATTATGGAGCAATCTGGGGATGGCTCTGCTATGCGCTGGTGGTGGTTCCTGTGTTCTTTCTTCAAAAATGTGGTGGGGAAGATGGGTTGCTTTTGATTAACAGATTGTGAAGATGAAGATCAAACCTCATTTCTCATTTTAACATCAATGCCATTGGCAGTTTAAAGTCCTTTATTTGAACTTACACAAAGTATTTTAATTTCAATTTGTAAGAAGTTCAAAGATGGCCAAGAGAGTACAAAGCACAAAGTTCAAAAGTGCAAAACAGTAACCAAGTGGAAACTTCATGATCACAAGTCCTTCTACATGTACAAAGCTGGGAAAAATTGATCTTGGAGTCCTACAGCCAAGCCACTCCTCAGGTTTTCAGAATTAAATGGGAGAAGTCTGAAAAAATACAACATAGGCAAAAGTGTGCATGCAGAGATGGAAGGACAGGATGGATTTTTTTAACAAATCAGCTGACAAAGCCTGTGACTTCCTGAAGTTAAGACTGTGGTTTGGACTTGGAGGGTAGGATATCTTGTGGGTCTGTTTTCTTCCTGCAATAATCCCTAATTTTGAAGGTGAGGCAGGAGGTGTTTGCCTGACCAGTCATTGCAGTGCTGCTCTTGATCTGTGCTCCTTAAAAGCTATAAAGGACTGGAGTGGATTTCATGCCTGGATCATCTAGCTTGTTGTTCTGGGAACTCTTAATTACTTGAGCACCATTTGATCTGGCTTCAGCAGCCTTGGTTTGTATTGTCCTCATTAGTTGTGAATTGAAACAAATAAAAAGCCCTTGCTTTGTTAAAGTTTTCTTTTGTTTTGGTGAGGGTGGAGTGTGTTTTTGGAGTTTTTTTCTTATTGCTTGAGACTAAGGTAAAATTTATCCACATCCAGGAGGAATGTGGATGAGGCCTATTGCTCCAAAGCAACCTGAGCTCTTTAAAAGTGGAAAAATAAACACGAGAAAAGGCAGAGTTCCTCCCAGCAGTGCCCGTGCCATGAAAAACATTTTTGTATTCACTCAGTCACTTGCTGCTTCAGAGAGTAGCACCAGGGTCTGTGGAGTGTTTACATGGCCCCCATGGAAGGTGCCACAGGAACCAGCACCCGTTGATGAATTAATCACCCTGAGATACCCCAAAAGCAAATTATCTGCTTGGGTTGTCTGGCATGGTTGTGTTACCTGCAGCAATCCTTTCCCAGCACAGCCAGGCTTTGCTCTTTTGTGTTTTCCTGCTCTCTGCTGTTGTATTTATTGAGCTTTCCTCAATGACAAAATTGAATTAATTTTTTGATCCTAGTGACTGTTGTTCAAAAACTGACTCTTGCTTTCAGGCTCTGGTCTCTGTTGTTCAGTAAGTCACTTGCATTGTTTGATTGGTTATTTGCTTTCTGTAAATCATATTTATGATCTAAAACTGAACAGAAAAAACCCAACCAGTTAAAGAGTGACCACAGCAGTTCCTGTTACAGTTCTTGGACTTTTAAAAAAACACCTGTTCTGGATAAAAGTCACACAGACTTGTTTTGAAGGTGGATTTTCTGTAGCTCTATTTTTGCTGGCTCTGAAAAAGTTTTTTCTGAATAGAATGACTCGGAGGGAACATTCAGTTTTGGTGTAAGGTTTATTTTTCTCCCTCTGAAATCTAGATAGATTGTGAGACAGAGCTATTCATTAAAAAAATGCAATTTTTTACGTGCAGTGAAATCTATTTAAAATATTTTGAGATACTGTAAAACAAACTCTGGACAGTTGAGGAAAGTCTGCTGCTGCAGAGTTTTTCTGGTGGGGGTTGTGTGTGTAGTTCTGTTTCAAATCAATCTCTGCTTCAAGGCATTTTTTCATTTTGAAAAGCTGCTGTAGAGAGATAGTAGTTCACTCAGTGCAATGATTTTTCTTTGCAAATAGGTTAGTTGAAAAAATAAATCAATTAGTAAATTGTATGCAGGCAGATTGCTGCATCCTCATAGCTGTTTCAGGTTTATTACTGAAACTAAAAGCAGAGGAAAATGCTACCTGCTTTCTGGAAAGCACAGAGGAAACAATCCCACCAAAATGCCAAGTAAGCAGCTTTTCTAGCTACAATGCTGAGGTCAGGACCCTGGGTTTTCTGAAGTCTTAATCTGCCCTAAAATTTCTGTCCATAATTGCCTTTGCATTCAGAGCTGAAACTTCTTTTTGGACAATGAGTAAGTGCAGGCCCTGAGACTTGTGGGTCTGCAAAAGATACAAGACAGTCTGTGGTGGAGAATGTTTGGATGCTGCAGCTATCCTGTTGCTTTTAAAGGAAAAAAACCTCCTATCCTACCTGTTTACTTCTTTTCTGCTTTATGTGGGTCTTTTCCCCCAGTTAGGTTTTTCTTATGGAAAACCTTGTGCCTGAAGCCAGGGCAAGGCTCACCTGTGCTTATAAACCAGGGTCCAACCTGACCACTCTGCTTGGCCCCTCCTGGCCTTATGCCTTCATTGTCTCCCAACTTTTCCTGCATCTTGTGCCCTTCTTTGCAAATCTTTCCCAGGTGGTTTCAGGACCTGCAGCAGTGATGTGTCATCAGGGGATGAGCTGCTCTCTTGGCAGTTTTTCAGCCCCAGTGGCATCATTAAAAGTAATTTGTCTCTGTGTTGACTTGTCCTTGTCTAGGAAGTGCTCAGACACTTTTGGGTTGGACCTGTGCTTTCTGTTCCAACCTTGTTGCCTCCTGTGCTGCCCTGCTAGCCAGGCTGCCATTTCACTGTCTTCTCTTGTACCCTGCCAGCCTTATCTGTCTCTGTTATTACTCTTTCATCATGCTTTGCCTGCATTTTCAGCACCTTGTATCAAGCTCCTTCCTCTCCCTGGTGTGAGTCTGGCCTCGAACCTCCATTAACCCCTGCACCACTAACCCCCTCCTTGTTTGTGCCCCCATTGCTCAGAGCAGTCCTGGGGTGAGCCCAGAGAGCAGATTTCTGAAGCTCCCAGAGCACACAGGCATGGCAGGGGCAGGCACCAGCAGAGAGAGCACCGAGGACCCCCCTCACCTTTGCCCAGCTGTGCCCCCACACACGGGCACTCCACCTCAGAGGGCCGTGGAAGGTCTCCTCAGCTGAGAGAGGCCAGAAATGGCCAGCAGCAGGAGCAGAAGACAACCAGCCAGGGAAGGTCCAGGAGACATCTCAGCCTTGACCTGGAAAGAGAGACTGAGCACCGTGCCTATGATCACAGCAACAGCTGGGAGCCGCAGGAGAGGAGGAGAGCTGGCAGGGAGAAGGAGAGGAGACTTCTCAGTCCTGATCTGGGCTTGGAGCATGGACTCACAGAGGAAGCACAGCACAGCAGAAAGCCACCAAGGCAAGACAGAGAAAAGCACCTTCTCCTCCTTGAGATGGAACTGGAGGCAGAGCAGGAGACCTGGCATCGGGGTGGCAGACAGCACCCTGAGAAACACAGATCTCACCACCAGGGCCACTCGTCACACAGGATGGCACGGGATGAAAAGCTCTGTGATGCTGAGTCTAGAGATGACCATAGGAGGGGTGAGGCAAGAGCCTACAAAAGGGCAGGACACAGGAGACACTCCCCCTCCCCTCATGCTGTGAGCCAGGGGAAGGCTGGAGACTGCCAGCGAGACCCAGGTAACTGAGTGATGGGGAAGGTGTGCCTGTGTGTGGGGATGGACCTTTGTGTGCCCCATACTGGTGTCTGAGACATGTTTGGCTTCCTTGAAGATGCTTCTCTCCAGTATCTACCTGCAGTGTGTACACAGGGAATCCTGCCCGGGTTTCTTCCTGATTTAGCAGAATTCTTCTTATCCATTAATGTTCTTGCTCTATATACTGATGTTCCATGGGATTGGAGAGGATGAGTAAGAAGGCATTGTTGGAGGTGGTGCCCTTGGTATCCTTCTGTTTAAGAAAACAAATTTCTTCCCCCCACCAAAAAAAAACACCACACCATCCCCAAAGAAAGACCTCCCCAGAAAACTCCAGCCAACACACAGCTTTTGTTTTTAAAATACCTTTTGTGCAGTGGCCTCCTTGTACAGGAGAAAAAAGGGAACAAACCCCTGAATGTTAGATTATGGTTGTATTTTGTGAAGTTGAGATGCAGGACTGTAAGTGAGCACACTGCTTAAGCACAAGAAAACCCAGCAATTTTCATCCACTTCTTATTGAAAACCCTGCTGCAACTTAATTCATTTTGGGCAAAGTTCACTAGTGGCACTGGGCATCCAACTGGGTTCTATTTGCAAGAATCTTGCCAAATTCTGTGCAAGTGGAATTTTCTGGGAAATGTGTACCTGTGTAGTTCTTGCTCAACAAGCTCTTGGCTTTAAAGATCCAGACCCATCATTGTACTTTTAAAGACACTGGGACAGTTATTCTTCTTCCTCATGATACAAACACTTTCCTTAGAGAAATAGAAAGTTTAGCTTTGAAATAACAGAACTCTATACTTAAAACAAGAACTGAACATTATATGAACTTTAAAAATGCTTACTTTTCTGTTTTCTCATTGAATTTTAAAATTCATTGGTCATGCCAAGGAAGAAATTGTCTAAAAACTCATGTGAGCCTGTCCTGGGTAACCCTTGGAGCCCATGCTGCTTCAGCAGTGTGTTCAGACTCTGCTGTGCTCATATCAAATGTTGGGCTGCTCTCTGCTGCCCAGTTTTGCCATTGTATCTGTATCAATGCAGAGAGTGACAAGTTATAATTCCTTTGCTAGCACTGCTGTCACCATAGGGACATGGTGCTTTAAGGGACATGGCCTGTTCTGCCCTGGAGTTGCATTTGTTGTCTGAGATGGGCTGTGGGAGGTACACTGTGATGATCTCTGGTTCTCTTGAGTGGGGGGTTTGCAGGTGGCTGAAGAGATGGTGGGGATCTCCTTCCCAAAGAATTTGGAGAATGGTTGAGTTGATTGTTTTCTCTCAATTCTGCAGGCACTAATTTGAGGGGGAGGACACAAGGCCTGTACGATGGCCCCCGGATGGAACAGGAGCTGTCTGATGCAGAGATTGCTCGGAAGCTGCAGGAGGAAGAGCTCCTGGTAAGTAGAGAGGGTGCATTGCTGAACTCAAAGGAACTAAGGCAACCAGCACAAACAACTTTGCTTTGTAAACCTTTAATATATAAGAGTGACTATAAGACCTAAGGTCTTGCTCCTGTGCCTTCTGCTAATTACCTTTGTCTTCCATACACACAAATATGGAGTGACAGCTGGCTTCCAAGTAATAAGCCCTATTTTTTGAAATAAACACCCCAAAATTAAAGTGCTGAAGCAAAGTGATATTAAATGGATGCTTCCAGGCAGGTGAAGATGGCATGTAGTCAGTGTAAGCAACTCACAAGGAGACATGCCGTTGCCTGTCTTTAAGAGAGAAGGCAGCAGAGTGGGAAATGCATTTTGGTGTGGCCAGGCAGATACATGAGGGCAAAATTCAGCTGAAAAGTTGAAATGGCAGATTGGAGCTGGTATGAGGTAAGTATGGGGGTAGCTAAGTGTATTTGGAGAGCATGATGGTGTATTTTTATGGGCACATACTTGCCCTGCCCAGTAGGTTGATGAGTGGGATTAATTTAGAGATGGTAATTTTTTGTCTCTGGTTTTCTTTCCCCACTTTTTCCCCCACCTCCAGGCTAATGAAGCAGATCAGAAGGCAGCTCAAGTAGCCCAAGATGAGGTGAGAAACAAGTCAAATACTTGTGGAATTCCTTTACTTGCAGAAGCTGCTAAACAGCCCTTGTTTTCTCTGACCCTCCAGTTGTTAATTTCTTTCCTTGTAGGGGAAGCCTGAGGCTCTAGTGGGAATTTCTCCCAGATGGGTTTTGTGTATGGGCTGGCCAAGCAGAGAGTTGCACTGCCTGTTGCAACCATGACAAAGACAGGAAGTTCATGGTTCTGTAAGAGCATTTCTTGTAACTAAAACCCAAGGGGGACTATCCAAGATGCTGTGAGAAGAACCACTGACCCCCTTAAGGAGAAGGGATAGAGGGCAGAAACGTTCTGCAAATGCAGTTCTGGTAAATCAGCTATTGGACATGCCGCATGCTGCCAGTCTTAATTTTGCCCTGTCCCTTGATTTCCGATCACAGATGGATGAAATCCTGGATTTGTACCCTTCCCATTCAGCAGCTGTCCATGGGAAAGGGTTTGAATAACTCAAATCCACAAGAGCAGTAAAATTGTCTGACAGAGTCTGTGTTTCCCTTCTAGGAAATTGCTCGTCTCTTGATGGCTGAGGAGAAAAAGGCTTTAAGAAAAGAGAAAGAAAGAGAAAAGTCTTCCTTTGAAAGGAGGAGGCATGATCAAGATTGGAAGGTATGCCAGGTTTTAGGAGGCACCACAGATAAGGTGCTATAACATTTTTCCTATTTTCAGAGGGAGGTGAGTGTGTATAGTGAGAGCAAAAGGTGGTGATGCATCTGAAAGATCTTGCTGACTGTTACTCAGCTGCTCCTGAGCCTTTTGGAGCCACCTCCTTGCATAGATGCTTTTGGCTTCAGCCTCAAGAAAGGTAGTCCTTGGGACTCTAGCCTTGGAGGATGGCACTGGATGTCACAGCACCTTGTGGCCTCCCTGAAGCACTGTCAGTCCCTGGTGCAGGACCTTCCTTCCCTTTGCTGAAATCCTGACTGTAGCATTAAAAGCAGTTGGTTCTGTTTGTGTAAGGGCAATGCAGCTGCTTCAGTTGTCACTCTGCCTCATAACTGGCTGTGTAATGAAAGTTCTGAGTTTATCATGCCTGGTTTTGGTAGGAGTAATACCAGAGAGACTTGGCTGGCCAGCGTAGAAGGGAGTAGGAAACAAATTTTATGGTCAGCACTGCTGAGGTGCTAAAAGGGATGTGGTGTTAATCTTGGGGCCAGATGGAGGTAGCTCCGGTGTTTTCAGCCTCCTTCCTGAGTTTCAGTGGTTGCAGGAGCACAGCTGTCTGCAGCTGGTCCTTCTTGCTCAGCCCAGCCTTTTGCACTATCACTACACCCAGACTGTGTTCAGCCCAGCTTCAGAACTGTCCCTTACTGCTGTCACATTTTAGCACAGAAATTGAGTTTGGCTCGGCAAAGCTGGGTTTTTACTGAAAACGAGTCCTGATGCTTGTTGCCATTTGCATGTCTGGCTGTAGTTAATTTTGTGTGTAAACCAAGCACAAAAGGGCTGTGTAGATTTGTGGCAGTCCCAGTGTCCTGGCTGGTGCCTAGCAAGGCACACAGATGAGCTGATTTCCCTTCTTCCCATCAGCCTGATGCAGGCGAGTCCACGCGCTCAAGGTCAAGAGAAGGGCCCGAAACTCAGCGACACAGAAGTGACAGGCCTTCAAGGTGAGCTTGAACTGGCTGGCAAGAATGGGGAGTACAGTTGGGAAGCTGCTGAGAAGCTGAGTCCTAGGGAGGAGATGTGGGATGACCAACCTGACCCACCCAGAAGGGACGTGGTGGAGAGCAAGGTCATGAGGGGTTGGTGACGTGCGTCACTCCGTCACTCACTGTGCTCGTGGCACTTGTCCATCGTGGTCCCTGTGCCCAGTGCTGACAGAGATTGATGAGCTTGTGCAGTGACATTTGTTAAATGGCAGAGAAACATTGAGAGGGTTAAACAGCTTCTGGGGATGTGAAACCAAATGTCATCTCTGGGCAGGAAGGAGTAATCACCATGCATTTGCACAGCTGCTCCCAGCTGAGCCCTGTGCACAGCTCCCACTGCTGCATCTGAACACCATCCTGCAAGCAAGAGCACTGTGCTTTGGGGTGTCTCATCCCAAACTGGGAACATGCTGTAGCCCAGTGCTGCTTCTGAATCCCTTGATACTCTGGCTCAGTGCTCTTCATGAAGTACTAAACCCTGAAAGTGACCCTAGTGGCTTTGATTTCCATTCCAGAAACAAACCTAGAAATTCTTGTTGAACTTGCAAAAGAAACAGCAAATGGAGCTGCAGGTGGAGATTGAGAGAGATCATATTAAAATACTCTGGGGGTAAAACTGCAAGCATTAACCATTTAAAGCAGCACTTTAAAACACTGCCCTTTTGAGTAAAGTTTGCAGTAAACTCCATAATGGAAACTATTTCCTGATAACTGAAACCATAATTAAATGAAAGGTCCACGGCAAGCAGCACATACTCTGCTTTTCTCACTGCAGAAACAGTAATGGGCTGTGCTCAGAGGAGCTGTTCTGCAGGTGGAAGGTCTGGGCCAGGCAAGGTTTGCATCAAACTGACAGTAACAAGCCAGACAGCTGAGATGTTGCTCTTGCTGCACTGTTGTGACTTTGAGTTATTTCCCAACACTCCTTTGACTCTGTGCTTGGCAGGTCACAGCCTCTCCTCGATGAACACTCTCGGTATTACACGAGCCAGCCCAGCCCCTTGCGCCACCACCCCAGACCTGAGCACTCTCCTAAAGGTAGGATCTGCCAGGGCTGCCCAGCACTTGGGTTATTGTCAGCTCTTTTCCTCACACAAGGACCTGCAGGGGACAGAGTGATGGGAAGTGATGCAAATAAAGAAGGGGAATAATGCCCCAGCAGGCAGGTGATGCTGGGCAGTGTTTGGGTTGGATTTGCTGAGCACATTGCAGGCTGTGAGACTGAAAAACTGAATTGGTTTGCCTGGAATTTGTCAAGGTGCTGTCTGTATGTCTTTTCTGATCTCTTAATGATGAATGACTGTAAATCTAGGTAGCAAATGACAAAGAAGTGTCACAAAGACAACATTATGATGGATTTTAGGTGACTCACTGTTCTCAAACAATCCAATACAAGACAGAACCTCACCTGTCTGGTGAGCAGATGGGATGATCAGACAGAAACTTGTCCTGAGAGCAGGCTAGTTTTATTCCTGTAGCACCTCAGCCCTGCTTTGTTGGTTTGTTTCCTGAAATCACTTGGCACAGAGCAGTGTGGGTAGGGTTGCCCCTGCAGTTGTTTTAAATGTGAATGCCCATTGTCTGAGTTATCTGTAGAGCCTCTGGGGAAGGAAGGGGGCAGTCTGAGTTTAACTCAGTCTCAGATTTCTTCCAACTCCACTAGTGAGACTTAAATGTGGATGCTTTCCTTTCCAAAATTTAGTTTGGTAAACTTGGGTTGTGTCTTAAGCAAGCTGGAAAGTTGATGGCACTTTATAGGGTCTGTTTGCTTTAGTGAGACTGTGCAATGGGGCTGCAGCACCATTCACACCCTAGAAGAAATGCACATGTCTGCCTGTCTCGTGGATCTGTCCTTCCTTTTGCTTCAGTCCTGTAACATATAGCTCCCATTTTGGCCTTTGACTTGACTAGTACCCTAGAAGTCAGGCAGACAGACAAGAGGGCAGGCCAGGTAAAATATGACTGCAGGCAGTAATTTTTTCACCAGGATTTAGTCTCACAGACTGTTTCCTTTCTGTTTTGTTTTCCAGGTTCCCGTAGGAAGCAGTAAACTGTGCTAGCCTTTGCTTTGGTACTGACTCTTCTGTAGCAAACATTACTGGAATTGCCAGGCAACTTTCTTCATCCCTGACCTGATGGGAGGCCCACCCTCTGCTCCCAGGATCATCTCTTTAAGTGTTGTCATATTAAGGAAAATTGTTTGTTTCAATTTCTTACTCATCTGTGATGACTTGAGCAGTGCAGTATAATCTAGCTGCCACTGAGCTGTGCCAATCAACCAGCTGGCTCAACAGCTCCCTCATACATTCTTTTGAGGCTTTCTTTTTATTTTTAAGTTTGGCTGGAGCTCTGATGAATAGGACAAATTGAGATGCATGTACAATGGAGGAAAATTGAAGAAATGGGTTATGGCAATGCAGCAGAACATCAGAAGTACAAGTCCTTTTTCCATTAGGATAACTTAGCAAAGAGAGCTATAAGAGGAATTGGGTTTCTTCCTGTGTTGGATAGGAGAGCTGAGCCAACCTGACAGTCATATGAGCTTGCAGGAAGGAGAGAGCCTTGTCAAACATATACCAGCAAAAGCCAAACCCTGAGACTGGTGAGGCAGAAATAGCCTATGAAACAGAATTTTTAAACTGCTGTATTTCTTTCTAGGGTTTCCAACATTCTGAATAGAGTGTATATAGGCATTTAGCTCTAGGATATAGGATAGAACAGTTAAAAGGAAATACAATTCCAACTGAAGTTAGACCTTGCATGACTTAGGATTTGCCAGGGAGTTCAAGAAGCTGTGAACTGTGGTTTGGGAAAACTCATACAAACAGATCTATGTGTCTGAAGGGACCTCTGTGGTCACCTGCTTTGAGCTTCAGTGTGGTAAAAGCCAAGGAATTTCATTAAAGCCAAGTCAGATCTCATGTAACTCTTAGCTCAGTTGCTGATGCACTTGAGTAGAGTAACTTGTTTCTGAACTTGGATATGTCTTGTAAACATGGGGCTGATGGAGAGAGGGCCATATGGGCATTGAGCATCAAAATCTACAGTTACAGGCAACCTGAGCCAGACACAGAGTGCTGATGAGTCCACACGATGTCCGTGCTGACTGCTTTTCCTCTCTGCTGCTCCATCCAGCTCCAGTCAGGAATAAAAAAATCATTGCTGTCTGGGGCACAGCAGGGTCTGCAGGTTTGCTGTCTGTATATATTTTCCCATGCAGTGATTCTGTCCTAGCTTGTTTTCCCTCCACTCTTTGAAAATCATTTTTCTCTTGCACAAAAAGTAGCCTTTTCACATGGCCTTCTCATTTAAATTCTGTAGTCTTTTTAATAATTTTTTGCCATTATTTTCAGGTGTATTTTTAAACTAGAAAGCTGAACATCTGGACACTGTCTTAGAGTGTGTTGAGCCAGGGCAGGCTGGTTATCCATGGGCCAGCCCGGTTCATGGCAGAGAGCTTGGCTGCCTTGCCCCTGCAGTCCAGCCTTAGTGCCAGCACCAAGTCTTGTCACCACTCTCTGCTGTCTCTGGCAGCTGCAGTTCTGGCTCTTGCTCTGCAGAGGAGGGCAGACACCTGTGTCTAGGGCAGGAAACATGGACTTGGCCTCACCACTGATCTGCCTGGGAAAGGGGCCTTGGCAGCTCTCTGGAGCTTTGTAGGGAGGGAGCACCTCTAGGAAATAGGAAGAGAGCATGGCTGGCTGCTGTTCCTCTAGTGCGCAGTTCATGCCCCAAGGCAGCTGTAAGGCTTTAACCTTGGCTGTTCTTGGTCAGGATAATTACTGGGCCAAATCACTGGGAAGACAGGGCAACTCCTTTTTCACATAAGTTGCAGGTGCAGGTTTAATACCACATAACAAGGCCATGTCTTGCCTTGCCCAGTAACTCTAAGACTTCCATCTCCTACTCCCACTGGCCCATTGGCAGCAGTTGAGTACCTGTGACGAACCACATAACCCCAATGGATCCCTGCTCCAGGGGTACCCTAACCTAAAACCTTACCATGTAGAGGACTTTGTGTATGGGCAGAATCCTGCTACCTGCTTACCCTTGCTTCCACACTGTGGCTCACCTGCCTGCATAGACTCCTAAGTGACTTGCAAGGTCATGCTTGCTGCTGCTTCTCAGGAAATATCCCAGTCAGCAGCTGGATTTTACTGTCCTTGCCTTGTTCCCACTTCTCATTCTGTCTCTGTCCATTCAGAAGTGTTCATGTTGTTTAAAAGGATTCAGAAAAAAACCAACATAGATGCTATTTTTTTCTTTTTTATTTGATAACTTGGCCCAGTGTGGCAACCTCATCTACCAAGGTTTTATTTTGTATGGATTTATTTTTGTATTTCATGTAACAGTCAAAATTTCTACTGCTGAAAATGTCTTTTTTTTTTTTCCTTTTTTCTTTCAGTGGGCTTTTTTCTTTCATTGCCATCAGAGTAATTATTGTTGTGAAATGGATGCCTGGTGGGTTTGTAAGAATTAATACTTCCTACAAACACCCTAGTCCAGGCACTGCTGCTTGTACCACCTGGTGCACTTGTGAAAACTGGATGGAGAAAAGTCCTGCCAAATCAGAAAGAGGTTGAGCTTTGTACTTGCTTGCAGAAAACTGGTGATTCTCTGCAGAAGGCATGGGAAAATCACCAGCTAGGAATTCAGCCCTCCATGGTCTCTGTATCTGGCTGTGATGGACTTTCTTGCACGGCAGTTGGCTGGTGTAGCTCTTGTCTTAACCTAGTCAGAGAAGTCATGAGCTCTGTGACATTTGAAGAACCTATTAATTCAGGAGGGATGCTTGGGATTATCCAAGTTGTTGGTGTCAATGGCAGTAAGTAGAAATGTGAGGGAAAACTCTGGTAAATTTAGTTTGGAAGCTGGGTAGTCTGAAGAACACCTCAGTGCCTCCTCTGTGGAGCTGTAAACTCTCCTTAGCGGCCAGTCAAGCTCTCTGGCCAAGACACCAAGAGACAAGAGCCCAAGAGAAGGATCCCAGGAGCAATTGCTGCCTTCCTGGATGCCTTTGAGGAGTGCTGAATGCTTTATGGGCTGTTTGCTCTGTATCCTCTCTTAGTCCTCATCCTTTTTTCTTTCTGCCTGCCTTTATTAATTTGCTGTTCCTTGTGTTTCTCCTGTTTTATTACTCCATAATCCTTGTGAAAAGGGGGTTCCTAAGGCATTGCTAGAAAAGGGAGAGAAATGCTAGGAATGGCAGCTGAGGAAAGCAGGCAGTGAATGGGATAAGTTGTTCATCTCATGCAGGTTGGGGTCCTCATGCAGCCATGCAGGTTAGAGACCTCCTGAGGCAGAGGTTGCAACGGGACTTGCATCTTTAGTGACCACTTTTGGAAAGGGATTCCATGGTCCCACTGAAATCAACAAGAGCTGAGATTATGGATGAACAAAGAGCCACTTTCCTTGGGGTCAGCAGCTACAGTTCTGCTGAGAGTCAAGAAGATGCAGCTTGTGTAGGTGAGATGCAAAATCAGCACCTTGGACGTGTGTTCCGGGAAAGAGGCACAATGAAACTTAACCTTTAAAAAACCACTCAGCAATATTTCTTTTCTATGACAGAAAAATGTTTAAGTATCTTGGTTTTTTTACTTGTTTACTCTTGCCAAGGTTTAGTAGCTTTCCCTATGGGTTTGCTCTGGATTTAGTAGCATGTTGGAACCCTTGCTGGGAGCCCTGCCCAGGTTGCTTGGGTCCTGCATCCCTTTCTGACTCTGCATTAACAGGGCATCCAGCGCCACATGGAAAATTCACCTCCTTGAAATCCTGGCACTTCCTGACCTTCCTAGCAAGCTCATCTCAGCAGCAAGAGTTCTCCCACCTCCTCACCTCTGTCCAAAGCACAATGGTCTGCAGCAGAGAGGTCGGTGACCTGGCGGGATCGTGCCTTACACGCAGGGATATTTGATGTCTTCAGCAGGCTGACCTGAGTCACCTTGCTATGAAACTGTCTTAATGGGGACTGTGCAGTTTCCTGCAGCAAGATGCAGTTCTCATCACAGGGATAGATCCAACAGGTTGATTTCATCTTTTTTTAAAGAACTTCATGGGTTTGAACTTGGTGGGGTGAGGAAATATCAGCTGTTAAGGGATAGATGAATTCTCATAATTGAATTTCTCCTCTTGGGGAAGAAAGATAAAGGTTACAGATGCTGCAGTCTGCTTCTCTCTCTAAAAAAGGGATCTTGTATGTACAGTATTTTTATATCTCTGCATTCCCATCTATCAGGATTTGAATCAGGATTGATAACATTCTCTACTTATGGAAAAAAATGGGTTGTTATTTTTACAGTGCTAGATGTCTGTTTGTTTATTTTGTGCCAAATTACAGTGTTTTCATTCAGTTTATTGCTGTTCATCAATGTGTATATTATATATTTTTATTATCAAGGTTTTTATTTTAATTCATATTATCCTGTATGCAAACTAACTGTGGATTGCTAATTTATGTATGTATAAAGGGGAGCACTTGGAGACAGTGTGAGGATTCCCCTACTTAGTTTACACTCTTGTAACTGAGCACAGCCAGTCCATGAAACTCACTGTTTCCTTCAGAGAGCAATCTCCTGTGTTTGCAGGTGGCTCCTGCTGTCCCTCCTGGCAGCACTGGCACTGCAGGGCTGTGTGGGATGCAGCAGGAACTGGGGCACAGCTCCCAGCACAGCCTGGTGGGTGCCTGAGCTCAGTGCTGCCCTGTGCCAGGCAGGAATGCCCAGCAGGGTGGTGGTGGCTGAGCTTTGCTCTTTATCTGTCCCCAACCAGTGCACACTTGGGTTTGCCCCACTCTCCAAGGTGTTCAGGGCCTAGTTTTGCAGTTGCTCTGGGAGGTGGGAATGGGACGTATCCCTTGCATGGAGCACACCATGGCTGTAGCTTGTCCTCTTTTTGTTGCAGAGGACAGGCACAAACCTGCAGAGATCCCAGTTTGCTGCACTCCAGCACGTTTGTGGCTGTGCAGCCCTGCTGGGGAGGGACTGGCTGTGCTGCACACAGGTGCCACTTGGACTGCCTTGCCCAGGACAGGCGGTGGGACATGGATCTCATGTTCAGGAGCTGCCCAAGCCTCTGTTCCTGGGCTGGAGATACTATCAGCCACCTCCTCCCCATCAGTAGCACAGGGCAAGGCTTAGCTGGGCAGTTTGGGCTCTTCAGGAGAGTCCCAGAGAGGACAGTGGCACACACAAATGAGTATTTTCTACTTCATGGGAAACAAGTTCCACTGTATCAGTGTTCACTCTAAGTAGACTCCATGGTCTGTCTCCAGCTGCATCTGTGCACTGCAATATAGTTAATTGCCTCAGATAAATAACTGCAGTTGTCTCATTTAGCTCTTCAGGGTAAACTTTCAGCCTGTTGAATCTAAATATTAGCCATGCAATGAGGTGGATTAGTCAGAAGGCTTAAATTCCTCAGAGCTGCAAGTGTATCCTGCATTGTAACAGCTAATCCTTAAATATGAATTGCACACTGACAATAATCTGTCTATGCAAGCCTATTCTTGGTTTTATTTTGACTGTTCACTCTATAATTTACCAGGTTTGGCATAGAACTTCTGAATGACATTTAACCAAAGTATCATGTCTGTGTGTATGTATAGCATGTTTTGCTTCATATTCCTGAATTGTCATAGAATGTAAAGGGAACATTGCCTTGTCCCATTTTGTTCAATAAATTGCTGTATTTTGTTATTCACCAATTCCTTCTGTCCCTCCGTGTGCTTTTCTGGAAACCTGAGTGGGTTACACAGAAGCAGGGGAAAATAAGACTTTGTTCCACCCTTTGTTCCTGGAACCTAGCTGCTTCTACCAACAATTATGTTCTTCCACTGTAATAGATGTAGCAAACAAACAAATTTGTATTTAATTTGATTATTTTGTTGACAGACAGATGGAAAAAAGGCTATGTAATATCTTGGAAAAGATCTGGACTGTTTCATTTCCTGAGACTCTGATACTGAAAAATAAAGCAGTATGATTATTTGCAAGGATAGGATGCTCTTTCTTATTTCATTAACAAAACTTTTGAGTTTGCAAAAAGCCTGCTTGAAGATTCCCTCAAACAACACATACCTACAGTGGTGGGACTGAATGTAAGAAGGAGGAATGGAAAATGCCCTGGGACTGACTGCTGTCTTCAAAGGCATCAGCTGAAGATGCAGCCACATGCAGCTCAAACATGAGCAGACCTGATCCCACAAACTCAGTTTGTGACTGAGCATTCTGGAATGGAGAGGAGGTCACACAATATAAATTCTGGATCTTGCATCCGGACTGTAAACCTTTCTTAAATGCTTATTTACTCTTTTGTGTCTGCTTGCCAAGAATAAGCATTGCACAGGAGAGCAGGGAGCCCTTTGGCACCCCAGCACAGGGTGTACCAGGCTTTCCCTCTATGAGCCAGGGCCTTGGGCTGCACAAGTGAATGCTCTGACTCCAACCGAGTTCACTTTGGTGCTGCATCTGTGTCACAGCACCACCCCAGTGCTTCCAAGCGCCTCAGTGTCATCTTTACCTTCCACCAGCTGCATCTCAGAGTCCCTTGGGCATTATCAGTGAGTGGAAGGAAGAGTCAGCAAAACACACATGGCTGGCAGGGGAAGAGCCTGGTTGTAAAAACAAGGCTCTTGGGAGTGCCAAGAGCTCTGCCAACTTACAGCCTATTGCAGCCTCTTGTCTGCAGTGGCTGGGTCCACCTGTTTTCTCTGAAAGGCTTCTTTCATGCCAGCCTTGGCACTTGTTGAAGCACTAGGCTGTGGTGGGAGCAGGGCCAGCTGGAGCCCCGAGAAACATCTTCCACCTGGTGCAGTGATGTGCACATGGAACTGGGTGTGGGGACCACAAAAAGAACACTGAAGAGCCCCTGGGGACTTTTTTCCTGTACCAGAAAACTTTGGTTTCTGAGTTTCCAAGCTACATGCAGCTCCCAGGCTGTGGGTGTGCCGTGGTGGGTGGATCCAGTGTGCCACTGGTGATGGATCAAGGCTTCCCATGTATCCTCCATCAGTGAAAAAAGCTAAGCCAGTGGAGATTGCTGAAAGTCAGCATTGTTGGGTGCCCCCAGCCTGACTGCCCCTTTGGCTGCTTCACACTGCCCTGCAAGGTGGCAGCTGCAATCTCCTGCCTCTGTGTGCATGTCTAGGTCCTCATCTCCTACCCAGCTCCATGCTAGTAGGGGTTCCCTACCTGGAACCCATGCTCCTTTTGTTCAGCAGGCAAATCACAGCTGCAGAGACCCAGAACCTAAACCAGGTGAGGTATTTAAGGCACAAATAACTTGCTGTAGTACACATGGTAGGTATGCACTGTTTCCAGTTCATTTTCCAGAGACTTGGTGGGTTACAACATGGCTAGAGGTGGAGAACATCCCCTCTGCCACGTGAAACCCTGGTTTATTCCTGAAACTATTCCTTCTCAATTTCAGTATTGAGCAAAGCTAATCCCTACCTTCTTTGTACCATCCTGCTAGCACACAAGTGATAGCTCCTGGCACCAGTCAGTTATCTCAGCTCTGAGGTACACGTGTCCATCACTCTGATTTCTTCTTTTGGAGACAGTGATCCTTGAACAGTGCCCTGAGTCGATCCTGAATCACTCTGGCCAGAATTCCTGTCACAGTTAATGGCAAAAATTAGATTTACTAAATGAGACCTGGGATCAGGCTGCAAACCAACTTTAAAACAAGCACAGAACTTGTGTCTGGCAGCTGGGTATTTGCTGAATGTCAACGCTTCCCTGACCCCAGAGAGCCCCAGACAAGCACCCAAACAGCTCTGCCAAAACCTGCTCCTGTTTCATGCTGTCGCTGGTGAGTGGCCGCTCTGAGTACTGACACCAGTTTTCACCCTTTCCCCTGGCACTGCTTTTGCTTAGTAATGGCTCCCACCCTGCCCTTTCCCCCCAGATATATCCCAACTCCAGGGACTCACTTCGTGGCCACCTGAAGCCAGCCCAGGCCCAGCTCCTGGCTGGCACTGAGGGCTCCAGGCCATGCTACATATGATTCCTATTGATGTGTCTACAGCATCTGCCATGTCACAGGACAGGCTTTTCCTGGCTATTTTAGACTTGAATGATTTCTCTTTTACTGCAAACATGGCTGACATATGCAGGGTTTAATTGTGAGCCAGAGGTGCCTGTGTGTGTCTCAGTGCTGGGGTTCATACCCAGGTGAGGAGAAGTGCTCCAGCACCCCCTTCCCTGGGCTGAGCTTGGAACTGGGACAGGTTCTCACCCGAGAGTGCTCTACAGTGCTGCCTTCCTCCCCTCTTCATCCTCCCTGGGTGCAGACAGTGTCCAGAGTGACGACATGGCCATGTATGTGCATGGGGACTGTCTGTGAGCTTTGTTCCAGCCAAACTGAAAAGAAGCTTTAGCAGGTGCTGGTACAGCAGTAGGAGGTTTACTAAGGTGAGATAGAGTTTGGGGAGAGGATGAGAGGTACACAAGGTTTATTCCCACACTGGCACTGGCCCCCAGTTACTGGCCACACAGCACATTATCCCAAAAGGTTCTGCTCAGCCTGCCAAGGGACCCATAAACCCCACTCAAGCCCCTCACTTGTGTATTTTTATTTAATTGTTAATTGCTCACAACTGATGAAACTGAAGGCCAGCCTGGAGGTGCTTGTTAATGTCCAGGAGCATCCCTCCCATCAGGCAGTCTGGGGGAAGGGGCTCCCTGCACTGCCCTCTCCTCCAAAGGCAAAGGGAGGCACCAAGAACAAGGGTTTCCAAGTGACTTTTTCTGGCTGCCAGCAAACCTAGACACACTGTCCTGCTGGAAAAGTCCCCAGCCTCAGGCTGTGAGTCCTGTGCACAGACAGGACTGACACTGCTGCCACAGGGAACCTGGAAGAGTCAGTGTAGAGCATCCCACAGGAGAGGGATGCACTGCTGCCACACCTGAGGCACAGAGGAGCATCCCACAGGAGGAGAGGATGCATTGCTGCACACCTGAGGCACAGAGGAGCATCCCACAGGAGGAGAGGGATGCATTGCTGCACACCTGAGACGGAGATGACCCACAGCTGTTTCAGGGTGTCCCTGACTGCACATCTGACAGCAGCTGTGTCCTGTTAGCATCCCATGGGGATAACAGGGACCAGGAGCAGCAGTGCAGGCCTCTGGGGTGGGCAGGTCTGTGTCTGCTGGAGAAAATTGGAATGGCTTAACAGCAACTGAAAGCCAGGTTCTGCAGCTCCATTGGGAAGCTAAGCCAGCTCTCCTGATGCCAGGATTAAACCAGCTGTGCAAAGGTGCACCTTAATGCCAGCTTGTCTCATCCACAAGGGTGCTGGAACAGCCAGCCAAAGCTGCCCCTCCTGGCCCTGCTGTTTTCTGTTTTCTGAAAATTCCACACCACTGTGGGCTGGTAGGAGAGGCTCCTGTTGGAAGCAGGTAAGCCAAGAAGAGGTGGTTTGCCTTTCTGTGGGACACAGTGGTAGCTGGGCTTGGGAAGGTGTCTGCTTAGCAAAGTCAGGATGTCCTGCTTGACAGGACCCCAGCACCAGCTGTAATTTAGAAGTCACTTTGTGCTCAGCTGAAAACATTTGTTTCTCTATATATTCTCCTAATTTCATTCAGTTCAGCTGTGCAAATAGGGCACATGTTCCCTGGAAGAAGAGGAGAGAAAGTCCCCAGGACCAAGGGAAAATGTCACTATATGGATGACCAAACCTTATGACCCAGTCCAGCCCACCTGAATTTTGAACAGAAAACACTCAAAATGAGCTACTAAACCTAAAAATCTAAAACTTAAAAGTTTTAAATCTAAACCTAAAAGTGTTGGCAGTTCTTGCAGAAATAAAACAACAACAAATTTAAGTGTGGTCACCATTTTAGTGGGTTACTGGACTGTAAAGGGAGTACAAAGCCAGGCAAGAAGATGGAGGCTTTATTCCCTTAATTGTATTCCTTGGTGCCACAGAGCCCAGACTGAGGTCAGTGCTGATCACCTCGAGGTGTGCAGAGCATTGCTCTGTGCAGGTTTGGAGCCAGCCCCAAAGTGGGAGCTGTGTGAGCAGAGCTCAGGGCCGCAGCATTCCAACCCAGCCTGGCAGCAAGGCAAACATCAAATATTGTGTGGCAAAAAAAAAAAGTGATTTTTCCTTCAGATAGAACTCCACCAGAGCTCACACTGATACCTCTGCACTCCCAAACTCCCAGGGAAATGCTTTGATACCTCTACCCCACACTTACTGGGTGCATTAACAACCTTGGCATTTCTCACATGAGTGAACTTTACTCAGTTTTAGTGTCAGCCCTGGTGTGCAGTCCAGTCCTTCCTCGTGAGATTTTTTTTCTCCCAAATATCCTTAACAAGCGATATTTGGCAGTTTAATCCAGCTGTCCCTTAAGAAATTAAGAGCTAATTAAAAATTAAAGCTTGAAAATCAATTTGGATTAATAAATATAAAATTTAACAATTTGGGGGGGAAAAATAGGAAGGTGGAAAAATGCTTTATTCTGGTTTTAAGTTATTATTTTATTTTTGCCCGGGATGTTCCAGCAGCATATCCAGTTCTATCCCAGGGCTCTCTCTAGTGGCCAGAAAGGAAAGGATGGGCAGGAGCTCAGCGGAGGCAGCGCTGCACCGGCACCCAGGGACAGACATCTGTGTGTGTGTTTAGGGGCACACACCTGAACCCAGGGACAGGCACCAATCTGTAGGTCTAGGAAAAGGCACCTGTGTGTGGGTTTAGGGACACCCACCTGCACCCAGGGGCTGGGATTTTGGGTGCTGACAGCCCCAGCACACAGATGTGTTCTCCCTCATAGGCTCCCCTCTCACAGATGTGCCTCCTAATCAGACCAGAGTGGCACAGGGAAATGCAGCCCACACTTCTGGGGTGTGCAGAGAGAGGAATAAACCCAGAGCAGACAGGTCGATGGTGCTTTAGTCCTGAAAAGTCCTCAGGGTAAAGAACAAAAAGTACAAGGAGGTTGTATTGGATGAAGGCATTTGAACCCCCCAGAAGTGGAACCCTG